TCCTATCTTTTTCATTTTTGTTTGTTTCTCATAATTTCTCAAAAAACATGATAACTTGATATTTGTAAATATCATACTTTATAACGTAAATAAGAACTTGACCTATTAAGAAAAGCAGTAATGAAAAGAAAATCTGAAATCCATAAAAATTACAAGTTTCTGATGACAATTAGCTTAATTAAACCAGGTACAAGATTATATAATTGTATTTTCTATCCAATTATCCATATAATAGAGAAAGGGACAGACTAGCCCATTGTCACTTTTTAATTTAGCAAATGAACGCTTATGGAGTGGAGTTTTTGGGTAAATCTGATTTGCTTATAAATGAAATAAAATCAAAAGAAACCATATTGGCATTATATTATGCAAAAATAAATGATCTTACTTAGTACTTTTAAAGTTAATTTCAGAAAAAATTTGACACAATGGTATCCGGCACATACAAGTGGTGTACAACCAAAATTTCATATCCCTAGTTTTACATTTATGTTTAGTTTTATTTCACCTAATTTTCAAAGATCATAATTGAATTAGATGGCCAAGCTATTCAAAGCACGACCAAGCTTATCAAAATAAGACCAATATATTCAAAATTCTTTATTCTTTCAAATCATTTCATTTTAATGCAGATCCAAGATCACGAACTCACATATATCGAGTTGCTTAAGTATGGAGTGCAACAAGAAATCCAAGCAGGTTGTAGTTATTCATATAAAACTAGGAAAGAAAGAAATCAAATCCAATTTAATTGTAAGTGGCCGAATTGTCCATGTCGCTTCCTTGTTGATACACTTCCCGATGACAAGTACCACATACGAAAATGTATTAACACCCACAATCATTCTGCCCCTTTTCCAAACAAATCACAACAAATTACATCATATTTTTATAGATCTTATTTAACAAGATATTTTGAATCAAATCAAGACCGTGTTTACGCACAATTAAGGTGTTTCAAAGATCTTAATATCCCATTTGATAGTGGGATCATTCCGGAAATGTTTCAACAATCTACAGATGCTTTAAAAAACTTTTCTAACGCCTTCATGCAATCAATACCCGTTTTCTCAGCGGATGATGTTACATCTCTTGCAATTTTTGTCGACATGGTTAAGAGTCATTCTCCAGATGATCTCATCGAGTTTATTCACGAGCCAGATCGTATGATTTTCTATTACGCCCCATTCGAAGCAAATGCTTTTTCACATCAAATACAAACTTATCACATTGATTCCACTTATAAGCTCTTGCGCTCTCGCATACCATTTTATGCCGTCACTGGCAAATTCGCGGAATCAATTGTTTTTCCGTTTTTGTATTTTTTCGTTTGGTCCGACACAAGTGAAAATATACAAGTTTGTCTCACAGCATATTTTGGCTCCATCAATCGCGAACCATCTTATTTTTCAATGGACTGCGCACCTCAAATCACAAATGCTGTTGAAACAGCCATCCCCTTATGCCAGATCATTTGGTGTGGCGTTCATGTGTTGCGCGCTGTCATGAGAAAGGCTGAAAAATTTCAAGATCGTTCCAACTTCGAAACTTTCTATAACTTAATGAAGTTATTGGTCTTTGGTTCTGAAGAGGAAGAAATTGATCCTGATGAAGTTTACAACAATTTAGAAGAAATTTTAAATGAGGAACCTGCTGCCCGTGAATACTTTGACCGACAGTGGCGCCATCATCTTGACAGGTGGATGCTTCGCTATATAAATGAAGGAGATGGAACAAACAACATCTCGGAATCACATTTCAAGGTTTTGAAGCACCAGTACTTCCCAGAAAGGCGAAATCTTCGACTCGATGAACTTGTCATCGAGTTATATTCCAGTGTTGTTCCTTCATTCCTGATTAAGTTGCAAATTAAAGGTCTGGATTCAGAGAGAAGTGTTAAAGTTATCAAAAAAGTCACAAGAGATTTCGAAGAAATGACACAATTTAAAAAAGTCGAATGCATCAGTATGCTTGAAGCTGTTCAGAAAGGTCTGAAAAATGATACACTTGATCCCAACATTGTTTACTCAACATTAAAAATATTATTGCAAAGAAAACATTTGATTTAATAAACATTTAATTTATTATAATTAATTTTTTATTACAGTATAGTAAAAAATGCTATAAATAAATTATTATATTTTATTAAAATGTAACTTTTAATAGTAAGTGAATAAAATAAATCAGGAATTGGGAAAGAAATAAGGTTAATTAAAAATAATGAAAATTACAAGTTTAAGGTTAATGAAAAGTGACAATGGGCGAGTTTGTCCCACACTCTTTCAAAATTTTTGAATTTGCAATCATCATATTTCTTTTACTTTTTGGTATTTTTATCCAAAAAAATATAAAACCAAAAATAATTGTTATAATTTAAATGAAGAAGTAATTTAAAACGATTTTATTTATGATCAAATTTTATATATTTTTTTGGATCAAATCCATTTTAATAGAATTTATATACTATTCATCTATTAGTAAACACTACCGTACATTATTTTTTAAGCTATCTTATTTTTTGAAATTTTATTCAAATCTTTGGTCGCAAGAAGAATTGCATGATAAATAAAAACATTTAATCAAAGTCAATTTTATTTTTCATATTCAAATGGACTGAGTGTTAACATTTAACATTTTTTGCTAATTGTCGTCAAAAATTAGGCGTAAAGCAAAAATTGATATTTCATATGGTTTTATGATAGATAAGCATTATATTCCCACTCATTATATTCGTAAATTTTGAGGTTTATCCTTCGCTTTTCAGATCATTGAATTTGATTTTTATATCAAATAGTTATATATTAGAAAATAATATGAGTTTATGTGATATTATTTTTCAGAAGATTTCATTCTATATGCCTATGAAAAGTACTCTCAAAACTAACTTTTTCCTAATTATAATTAAATCTAGAATATTGTATTATGCTTAGTATTATTTCATTTTTCTCATTCAATTTAGAATTTACAAATGTCAAAAAATTGAGAGCTGTCACTTTTGATGAATTTCTGTTTATTACAATAATCTATTGGATTTTGAATTCCTTCAAAAATATAACAATTTTCTAAAGAATTAATATTTGAATTCAATTGAAATGATTGAGTGGTCATTTGGGTTGTATCTACAGGTCCACTAAAAGTGACTATATCGACTGTACAATTAATAACTGATATTTTTGAACCTCTATTGCCCGTCTCGCAATTAAATATCGTAGTTACATTATTTTTTTCAAAAATGCATTCGCTTACAATTAGTTGTATTGCAGCATATGTGCTTATCAATTTAGACCTACCATCATAATCCGAGTTGTTTATTACATTACATTTAGAAATTTCACCTGTTCCATATCCCGTTTGGCTCATAACAGTACTAGTGCTTGGACAATTAGAAATTACGCAACAATATCTTACATCACATTTATTACAAGATAATTCATATACGCAACAATAATAGCCTCTATTTTCAGTTATGTTCGATTTTGATAAAGTCTCATTTCCATAACCATCACTAATAACTGCATCACCAATCTCATCATTACCACATTTATATACTGTACTTTCGTAGACATCGTTACGGTATGCACCATTATAAATGACATTAGTAAATGAATGATGTCCATATGCATATTGATCTGTTACAAAAGAATTAATCGAGCAAAATCTATTTTGAATAATATCGCTGGCTCCGTCAATTAATAGGCAAGCTCCCCAACCTTCTTTGGAATTTTTGATAAAATAACAATCAGAATGAAGGAATTTCGCACCATTTTTTCGTGCACCAGAATCACGCCATTAGTCATATTAAAAAAAGAAGATTCACTCAAATAGTATTGATTTGGGAAATCAGTGATTTGTTGATTATTTTCGATTTTTTCTTTATTCGGAACAGGTTCCCCATAGAATTCGATCCATGGATCAACAGGAGGATTATCGGACTTGATATGGAAAAATATACACAAAGTTTTCTTCAACAATGTACTGATGTATGTATTTTGCTATAATTACTTCACATTGCTAGTCCAAATTAATAAACACTCTTTAGTAATAAATGAAATGCTATCAATTCAATCTTATATGGGTTTGAAAAATTTCAATAATGTAAAATATGAAAATTATTAAATAAAAGCTAGTTAAATTAAATTATACCAATATGCTAATTTTAATTATCCCCTCCATTTTATCAAAGTTTCAATTTTTACTTCCCTTTTCAAACAAATTTTTGATTACATTGACTGCTCAATTTTTGGTTGTGTAATAAACAGAAATTCATCAAAAGTGACAGCTCTCAATTTTTTGACATTTGTAAATTCTAAATTGAATGAGAAAAATGAAATAATACTAAGCATAATACAATATTCTAGATTTAATTATAATTAGGAAAAAGTTAGTTTTGAGAGTACTTTTCATAGGCATATAGAATGAAATCTTCTGAAAAATAATATCACATAAACTCATATTATTTTCTAATATATAACTATTTGATATAAAAATCAAATTCAATGATCTTAAAAGCGAAGGATAAACCTCAAAATTTACGAATATGATGAGTGGGAATAGGCGTAAAGCAAAAATTGATATTTCATATGGTTTTATGATAGATAAGCATTATATTCCCACTCATTATATTCGTAAATTTTGAGGTTTATCCTTCGCTTTTCAGATCATTGAATTTGATTTTTATATAAAATAGTTATATATTAGAAAATAATATGAGTTTATGTGATATTATTTTTCAGAAGATTTTGTGTTCTTCTTCAAAATTTTACTTTTTTATTAAAAAGAATCTTTACAAAATATACATTTACTTTAATTAATATTTAAAAACGTGCTCTATCAAAAGTTCCAAAAATTCAATATTTTAGCTTTTCTGAGGTGTCACTTTTGATGAATTTCTGTTTACAACAGTTGAAGTTATATCTACAGCTCTTATAATCATTCTCATGATATTCAATATTGAATGTCCACTTTTTGAATGAAAAATTCCGGTTAAAAATACACGAAATATGTCGTACGATTCTCCAGTCACTGCCGGCCTCGATCTTTTACGCCATATTCCACCAAAAGATGTCGAAGAGCGTATGTTTGATATCTTCGAACTCAACCCAGATTTAACTGATGAAATGATTTCTGCTGTTGATATTCCACTCAAAATCCAACAGGATAACGATACCCAGCAAAATTTCGTAAAATGTGATTACAACCGCGATGGTGATTCATACAGATCTCCTTTCACAAACAAGTATTACCCACCACTTTCAGATGGTCAGACACCATCACCAAAGCTCCGCAAACTTGAAGAACTTGCCAACAAAGCATTTGGTTCCTACCTTAATTTGTTCTTCAGGTACGGTACACTCTCAGTTTATTGCTGGGATCTTGATGATAATTCTTTCGGACTTGGCGTTTTCGTACGCAAAGATGCCAACGAAAGCCAGGAAGATTTTATTGGAAACATTTCTTGCTCAGATGTTTTCACAATCACTGAAGAATCCTCTGGTCAGTATACATACGAAATGGTCTCATCCATTATGCTTGAGATCAAAGTTCAAGGTGCCAACGGAAAACCTGTAATTCTTTCCGGTGGTTGCACAGATAGTAAGGTTAAAACACTTCCAGCAAAGGGTGACATTGAAATGCTTGTCAATGTTGGCACAATGATCGAAGATAACGCTGCCAACTTCATGGAGTACGTTAAGCAGATTTACGTTTCAAAGATGACCGAAATCTTGTCTTACACTAAGGGAATTGCTATTGGTGGTGGTGGCAATTCTCCACAAGACCAATTAGCCGCTGCTATGAAAGCTCGTCTTGGCAAATAAATTTAGTTAAAATAAAACCATCTTTTATGTGTCGATGAAATTGACCTTATTTTCCTTTTTTGAACCGATTTTGTAATAAACTTAAATACATTTTTCGAGCCTTTTTAAATCACATTATTTTGACCTTAATTTTAGATATTTCATATTTCATATTTGAAATGTTAAAGCTTAATAAAGTGGAACTGTAATCCATGCTTGATTTTACTGCAGTATGCTTATTCAGCATAGCATAGACGAGCTGTCTGATGACATTTTTTTCTCCAAAAAACGAATTTATTTTATAACTCCTATTCAAAATCATATAATTTAACACTAAAATAGATCAATTCATAAATTTGACACCAATAAATTGAATACTTCTCTCTCAAATTCTATAGATTTGATACGATGGAGACCAAAAAGTCATTACTTGACCTCTTAAACGAAGAAGATGAGGAAGAGGAAGATGGTAATTATGTTGGCTCCGATATGGTTGTCGAAGAAGAAGAAATTAATTCCGAAAATTCCGAAAATGAAGATGATCAAAACCAAGAAAACTTTGATGGAAAGGTTGAACCAACGAATTATGAGTTTGATGTCGAAGTAAATCCAAATGTAATAGAAGATGGCATCTTTCAATCAGAAGAATTCTCAACAAATCAACATAGCTTTCATATTGGTTTTTACACACTTGATCCAGATGCAACTGATGTATACTTATTTGTATACCCACAAGAATTCAAAAAGAGTTTCGAATGCTCATTTTCTATAACAGTTCCTGAAACAGAAATTGATCCTTTGTCTTTTTATGGTGTTTTCAATGAAGAATTCCCTTTAGTCAAATCACCAAAGCCACTGCTTGATAAATTACCAACAGAACCTTTCAAAATCCATGTTTTTCTAAGTTATATCCCCGGACCAAATGAAAGCCGTAAATATTTTAATTGTGTTGGTCTGAACAATGATGGAATGACATGTTATTTAAACTCTCTTACACAAGCTTTATTCCATATTCGTGGTTTCAGAAAAATTGTTTTTAATATCGACACAGAAAAGTCAGAAATACCAAAAGCTCTCGCATCTCTTTTCTACAACATGCAAACATCATCGAAATCCTGCAGTACTCGTCGTCTTACTAAATCTTTTGGCTGGAATACGGAAGATCTCTTTGCACAGCAAGATGTACAAGAATTAATGCGTATTTTACTCGACAGACTTGATAGTGTCAGCGATAATTCAGCATCCAAGATGTTTAAAGGTGTTTTCAAATCATATATCCGCGTCCCAATATTAAATTACGAATCAAGTCATAACGAAGACTTCTACGACCTCTCTCTTGTTGTCAGAGGCTGTCTTACTCTCGAAGAATCCATTAAACAGTTCTTTGAGCCAGATCAAATGACAGGAGCTGATCAATACCAAATGCCTGACAAAACAAAGGTCGACGCTCTCAAAGGATTCGAACTTATTGAATCTCCTTCCATTCTCTGCCTCCATCTCCGTCGTTTTGAGTACATTAACGGTGATATGCAAAAGATTACATCCAGATTCGAGTTCGAAGAAGATCTCCACTTCGGCGATGACAACTACAAACTCATCACCATCATTGCTCATGCCGGATCCTTCTTTGGAGGCCATTACTGCGCTTTTGTCCACAAAGACGAAAAATGGCTTTGTTTTGATGACGATTTCGTATCCGAAATCACCGAGCAGCAGGCCATAGAAGAGAAATACGGTGGTGACAACCACGGATTCACGGCGTACGTGCTCTTCTACTGCAAGGAAAGTCAAATGGACACCTTAATTAATTGTGCAGACCCTGTAATTACAAAAACCGTTTTAGATGACATTGAAAAGCACAAGACCTTTAGAGATGTGATGTATGTGAATGGAAAAGACTTCGCAGAAAACAGTGGTACCGCTAAGAAAGCGCAAATACCAAGAGATGGACCTTTGGATCAAATTAAAGAGGTCTTCTCAAAAATTTGCGGTTTTGACATGTCAGAAATTGTATTGAGGAATGTTGATCCGAGGGATCACGTGAGAGAAATTGTCACGGAAGAGAATTTCTCATCTGTTTCCAAGTTTTTCATATCAAACAACTCGAATATCCCTGTTTTTCCAAAATTTTACGTCGACGGTTATGATCTAAAACCGTTAGAAACTGTTTTTGTTGAAGAGATGTCTTCTGTTGAAGATTTGTCAAAAGTGATCTGTCAAACCGTCGGAATAAGTGATGAACCACCATTGAAATGTTTTACTTACGATGATTTCGGATCTACAAGTGAAGTTGATTTTCCTATTGTCGAAAGTTTGAATTTAATTTTCCAACTTGCCGATAAAAGTGACAAAATCAATTCAGATCTTATTGTCAAGAACCTTGACATGAAAGAATATCTTCCTCCGAAAGATTCTCCATTTATTGTCATGGGAAAAAACTTACAGATAGAAAACGCAGGAATTTTCTTCGAAATGACAAATGATATGGAATATATCACGTTTAGACACATAATTAACAAAGATCAGAAGTTTAAACTATTAGTGCCTTTGCTGTTCAGTTACGAAAATATTTTGAAATTGATTAGTTGTAAACTACAGAAAAATTCTGACCAAATTTTGTTGTTCAAACCAAATGATGTCAGATCACTTCACAAATCAACTCATCCCAATGTCAAAGCCATCCTTGAAGCCATGGACATGATAGATCCTTCTGATGACATGACAATTTGTTTCGATATTGCACCAGAAAGTGTCAAAACCGTTGACAGAAGTGACATCACCGTTATTGACAAAAATGGCAAAACGAAACAGAGATTTGCTATTTATTTACCTCGTGGTGATCAGTCCAATGAGAGGTTGATTGAAGAAATCAACAAAACAGTCACTGATAAGTACAAATATTTTTATTCTGTCAATGGATTTCCACGTGATTTTGTTCCAGGCGAAAGAGTTGAATTTAATCACAGAGTTGTATTGGAAACAGAACTGGAAGAACCTGAAAATGATGAAGAGGTTCTTTTGAGAGTTGTCAATAGAGATCAGTTGTTGGGAGATAATGGAAAATTGCCTTATTATATTAAGGAGAAATCTGATAAGAAAGTTGATGAATTACTCAAGGAAATCAGTACAAAAACTGGTCAAATTGTTCACTTAATTAAGGGAACAAGTAGAAGACCAGAAATCGCTGATCACAAGGATTTGCTCGCAAAGGATATTGTCAACATGAATATCGCTGTTATCACAAAGATTTCTCTATCTGCTCTCTACGGAGAATCATCTGAACTCAAAATGAATAAATAAAAAAATATTTTTTGTTTTTTTGATAAAAAAAAATTAATATTGTTATTTAATGTTTATTAGATATTAGTTCTGCATCATTAAACCATGCTTCTATAAGGAGAATTCATGTCTTCTGTTGAGAAAGAATTTTATAATTTTTGGCATTTATCTTTTAAAAAGTCGGACAACGAATGAAGTTGTCACAAATTGAGAATTTTTACTTTGTTAGCCAGAATCCTTAAAAAATCCAAAAAATATGAGTTTTCTTATTTTTGTCACAAAAATTGTTATTTTTTTCGATCAAAATTGAAAAGCAAGACTTTTTGAGATTTTTAGCAAAATCAAAAACAATGGATAGATGTTATTTTATGATGACTATCTGATTATTATCTCAATTTTGATTTTTAGCCACAATTTAATAATTGTGTAAAAATACAATAATGATATCCTCTTTATCTTAGCATATGCCTCGCCATCCTGTTCGTCCAGGGTTCTTCAAAGCGGCCAATACGATACTACTCACGTTCCCCGGCAACAGGAATGCAAAAAACTCCGTCGAGTTGTTCTACCTCGAGGGAACGAATAATTCCAGAATTTGGTCGTACTAGACTCGATCAAGAGCGTCCTCGCACCGGGCATCGAGATGACGTTTGTGAGATCATAAAAAAATCAAATGTTTTTATTTCTTCTTTTCCGACATCGAAGGCACGATTGGGAACTTCTTCGGGGGCTGATGATGTTAAAATCGACCCAGATCTGAACGAATCTTACAATACTCTTCGGGTTTTTCTTCGTGAGCCTGTCGCTGAGGATGTCAGAGGACAGGTGAGTGATAACAACAAACTTTAGGGCCTCCATTCACCTGGAGACGACCTTTGTCTTGTTGTCCGAGTACACCGAGAACATATTATCATTGTGGAAGAAGTTGCTTCGCACGACCTCGAAGATACGAGTCTTCGTCATCACCATTCCCAGTGCCAAGAAACTTCGTCTTGGCCGTGCATCTGAGCGTCTCATAAGGCTTGTCCGCGAGGATGTAGTATACGAGAAACACTAAGGCGTCCGAAAGCAAGCTCTTCGCTCGGTCGACGTAGTCCAGTGTCGCCCGGACTTGTAGGCCAGATTGGAGAGTGTCTGTTTATCTGTATCTGGAGGACGGTGCCCGGGAATCGGTGTCCCAACTCATTATCGACCTTTATCACCGGGGGTGGCCTGACTGCGAGGTTGCCATCCTCCCTCATACTATCATTCTCGTTATCCGATGTGGTGGTGGATGTGATCAATTTAAATGCAGTTTTTAAAAAAGTATTTTTAAAAATTATATTTCGTTATTAATCAATTTTTCTTTATTCAGAAGCAAGACTAACACCCATATCGAATGCTTGCTTTAAGACACCTTCCTGATGTTCAGCAAACCATTTCTTCTTAAGCTCAGTTGGGTCACTTGGAATCCATAACTTTGAAACATCTTTGGCGAGAAGTTGGAATGGATTTACAAGGACTTGGCACTTACCTTTGAATACCATTTCATGATAATCTTTATTATGTTGGAATTGTGGAGCATACATGTTTTCAAACGCATTTTGTGGGGCACCGCATGTATATACAAGTCCAGTCTTAACTGGGCGTGTAAGTTTTGAACGTTTTTCAGCACAATAATTGAAATGGCAATATAAAGCACGCTGATAGAAACTATAAAATGGTCCAGTAAGGTTTCCAAAGTAAACTGGTGATCCAATAACAAAAGCATCGACATTCTTAAGTTGATCAATGTATTTTGTGGCATCATCTCTAATGATACAAGAAGCAGGAGCATTTGGTCTCTTGCATTGAAGGCATCCTTGGCAACCACTGAACTTTAATTTGTCTAAATGAACAATTTCCGCAGTTTTTCCGACTGATTCAATACCTTCCTTAATAGCTTTGAGGATAGTAACGGTGTTGCCGCTATTTCTAGCACTGGCATTGAAGAGGAGAACATTTGCTGCAAACTTTTGTGGTGAAGAAAGCATAAAAGTGAACTGATAAAAATTTTAATTGAATTTTTACAATCATCGTTTTCAAAAAAATATATATATGCTCGTAATAATATTCTAGTGCTTTTAAAAAATTCGTTATTTTTTTCCATCATGTAAACCTCGATGTCACTTTTGCGGCCTCGCTCCGCTCGGCCGCAAAAGTGACATCGAGGTTTACATGGATGGGTTCTATATATATACAGCTTGACCAGTAGAAAAGCGGATCGATTTTTATCAATAATTGGACATTCTATTTTTAATAAAATAAACATATATTTATATGGGAAATTAGGGAGATCTGAAACTCAAAAATTATTTTTGAATTTTAATATGATGAATGTAATTGTGATAATATGTACATTACAAATTATTCAAATTTCTCAAGCTTGCATTCTGGGCACTTACGTGCCCAGAATGCTAAAAGGCGCGTAGCGCCGTCTCTGAATATCAAATTTATTATAATTTATGAAATTTCAAATAAAATTTATGAAATTTCAAATAAAATCAATCTGTTATAACACACTGGTGCATGACAGCCTTGTCCAGTCAATTCTATCGGCGCGAAGCGCCGATAAAATTTAGACAGTGTCTAAATAGAGGACAACACAGTAACTTTTGACATTATGAATTTACAGTAAATTAGCATACTATATTTATAATTTTTATGGCTTAATTTAGATAGTTTTCGTTCAGAAATTTTAATCATATTTTAAGTAAACATATGTTAGTATTCTTCACTATTTGGTTGGCGCAAGCGCCAACCAAATAGTAAAAAATTCAATATTTCAAAAAATTTATTAATTAATAATCATAAAAACTCACGGAAAACTTAATGTTTGGTTATTACAATACATTCAGAATCAGAATTCATCACATATTCTTTTCCGAACAAATGACGATATAATTTTCGAAAAACTTATGAGAGTTTGAATTAGATCATATCATATAATTAATATATATATATTTATTTATTTGGCCGAAGGTGGCGTGCTTGCCCGAAGGGCAAGCGAAGCCACCTGAGGCCCGAAATCATATTTGATCAAATATGATTTTTTTGGCCTAAAGGAATGTAGTAAATATATATCTTCGCACTACAGATCACCAAACTTTATTCAACTCAATCGGACAAAAAATCACATGATATGCTTGTTGAAGCAGAGTTAAATAATTTCCATTGAGTCGAAAAAATCGAATTTTTTAGGTGCAACTCGAGGCATTTTACCAAGTATTTTTGTACAATCAAAAATGAAAAAAATTGAGGGGGGGGGAAAAAAAAACTCTTTAAGATAATATGGTGGCTTTGAGATTCACATACCATATATGTATATCTTTATATGAAGGATTACTATCGTATTGTGTATGGTAGCAATGAAAGACATCTATCATGTGAGGCTACAAGATGCCATGAAGTTGATGAAAATTGAGAGGAGATAAGTGGTCTGTCGGAACCCTTAAAAATTTTAAATGTCTGTTCAAGATTTCCATCCAAATAACTTCATCGAATTACGAAGTATATGCAAATACTATATAGATTCATGCAATGCACTATATCAGCTAAAAACGGAAAAAGAAGAAGAATTAAACTCAATTTACAAAATGATCAAAACAGAATTGATTGATTCAATGATATTCCATCCTCATGATATTATCATGGATATTTTAAACTTCATTCCGTATAATAATCGCTTTATAAAGTCATATTTATTTCTTATCAAACAAATCTATGATGATTATCAAGTCAGAGATATCCCCAATGCTTGCACTGTTCCAAAATTCCTGTTTTATAAAGAATATGGAATTAAATTAAACAAATCTGATAATTTTGAAAACCCTAAATTTGAAAATCTTGATATTCATGAAGAAGATACAATTTACAGAGCAATTATGTATAACGATCTAAAAAGATTCATTTCATCCACAGAAGGAGAAGGATTTGATAAAGACCAAAAACTTAAAAGTGATTTATATCCTCCATATTACACTAAATTTTCATTACTTGAATTATGTTGTTACCACGGAGCAGTTGATTGTTTCAAATTTTTAAGAACAAAATTTAACCCAGAAATAACTCAAACATGTCTACAATTTTCATTTTTAGGAGGAAATCCAGAGATCATGAGTGAATGTTTGAAATATCAAACACCAAATGAAGCATGCATGAAATGTGCAATTATTTCACACAACATTGATTTTGTTACATTCTTGAAGAATGAGTACAATATGGGGATCGATATAGAATATTGTGGAATTTTCAATAATCTTGAATCCTTTTTAGTTCATTTCGATCAAACAAATAATATTAACATGTGCTTTTTTCAATCAGTGATGCTTAATATTTCATCTCTTTGCAAATATTTCTTATCACATGGTGCAAATATCAATGAAAAATATAGGGTGTCCAAAGGTGTGTTTAGCACAAACCTGAATACTGCAAATAGAAATAAACAAGTTACATATATATAAAGTTTATTTAAATATAATCACCATTGGATTCAATCACGCGTTCGCAGCGATCGATCCAGGCTTGAAAGACACGCTTTAAATCATCATGAGAAAATTGCTCAAATTGCTCTCTTACAAAATTTTCAAGATCATCTGGACTCGCGAATTTGCGTCCTTCAGCTCTCTTTTTTAGCGTGCCGAATAAATAAAAGTCAGAGGGTGCAATATCAGGTGAATAAATTGGGTTTGGAACAACTTTGACATTGTTTTCCACCAAGTAATTCATTACCTTATGACTTTTGTGAACTCTTGAATTATCAAAATGAATTGCAAACTTTTGTTTTTGTTGTTTGGATTTCTCAAACACATCAGAATTGATAATTTGAGTAAGAACATTGTCAAATAGATACTGAGCATTCATCGTATTAGGTTTTTGAAGAATATCAATTGCGATGATGCCATTCACGCCCCAAAAAACTGACAACATCATCATTGGTGTGTCAATTTTTTTCTTCGGGAATGTTTGCGGATTTTCATCCTTCGGGATCCACATGATTTTGGCTTCTGTTGCATATTGAAACCAAGACTCGTCCCCTGTTACTAAAAAGCGAAACTTCTTGGATTGATACGCACCCAATATAGAGAGGAGCTCTTTCGAAGATTGGACTCTAGATTTTTTTTGAACTGAATTAAGGTTGTGCGGAACCCAACGTGTATACGCTAGTATGTAGTTCAAATAATTGTGCAGATAATAACTGACTGTTGTACGTGGTATCTTTGTCATCTCCTCTATCCTTCTGAGTGATGCTCTTGGGTCTTCATCTAGCGCTTGAAGAATTGCTTTGATTTTTCTTTGATCCGGCGATTTTTTGTCAATTTTTATGATGGGCGCCTTTTTGTTCATGAAGTGATACATCCTAACATGATACGTTACAGTGGAATAGCTAGGAGCATCCATACCGAAGCATTTTACCAATGTCTCGTAGATTTTTTACAGTCTTTGCATTTTTTTGCAAGAGCGAGGATGTTTTCTTTATGATTCATTAAAAAAATGAAAAAAATCCCGCCAAAATTTCCCGCGAAACCGCCTCTTGTCTCAAAATTCATTTTATATCCCGGCATGGCGCCAAAATACAACATACTCATCATATACATATATTCATATTTTTTATTATATATTTATAATCAGCATATATCTCCTTTAATAGTCTCATATAGAGCGCTGTGCTAAACGCACCTTTGGACACCCTATATTATGGGAAAACACCTCTTTTTTATGCAGCAGAATATAATAGTCAAGAAACAGTAGAAGTTCTCATTTCAAATGGTGCAAATACCAATGAAAAATATTGTGAGAAAACACCTCTTTTTTATGCAGCAGAATATAATAGTAGAGAAACAGTAGAAGTTCTTATTTCACATGGTGCAAATATCAATGAAAAATATTATGGGAAAACACCTCTTTTTTATGCAGCAGAATATAATAGTAAAGAAACAGCCGAACTTCTAATCTCACATGGTGCAAATATCAATGAAAAAGATAATTTTGACAATACTGCTTTTTATTATGCAGTAAAACGAAATAATAAAGAAACAGTCGAACTTCTAATCTCACATGGTGCAAATATCAATGAAAACTACGATAATGGAAAATCTGCTCTTCATCATGCATCAGAACATAATAATAAAGAAATAGCCGAACTTCTAATCTCACATGGCGCAAATATCAATGAAAAAGATAATTTTGACAATACCGCTCTTTATTATGCAACATTGAAAAAAAGTAAAGAAATTGTCAATCTTCTCATTTCAAATGGTGCAAATATCAATGAAAACTACGATAATGGAAAATCTGTTCTTCATATTGCAACAAAACAAAATAATAAAGAAATCGTTGATATTCTCATTTCAAATGGTGCGAATATCAATAAAAAAGATGATTTTGGCAATACCGCTCTGTATTATGCAGCAAAGCAAAATAATAAAGAAATTGTCGAACTTCTTACCTCACATGGCGCAAATATCAATGAAAAATTTAAATATGGAAAGTCCGCTCTTCATATTTCATCAGAAAATGATAATAAAGAAATCGTCGAACTTCTTATCTCACATGGTGCAAATATCAATGAAAAAGATAATTTTGGAAATACTGCTCTTTATTATGCAACAAAACATAACAATAAAAAAACTGTCGAACTTCTTATCTCACATGGCGCTAATATCAATGAAAAAACAAAATATGGAAAGTCCACTCTTTATATTGCGGCAGAGCTTAATAATAAAGAAATAGCCGAACTACTTATCTCACATGGTGCAAATATAAATGAAAAAGATAATTTTGGAAATACTGCTCTTCATATTTCAGCGTCAAAAAATAGTGAAAAAACAGCCAAAGTTCTCATTTCAAATGGTGCAAATATCAATGAAAACAACAATAATGAAAAATCTGCTCTTCATCATGCAGCAGAAAATAATAGTAAAGAAATGGCCGAACTTCTAATCTCACATGGTGCAAATATCAATGAAAAAGATAATTTTGGAAATACCGCTCT